TCCTTTTATGGGCATGCGAGAGGTAAATCTGTCTTCCCAGGAGGAGATGGGTTTCCTCTCAGCAGAGATTCAGGCTCTGGTGCAGAAACAGGCTGTGTCTGTTGTGCAGCCTCAGCACAGAGAGAAGGGTCTTTATTCTATGTATTTCCTGGTTCTCAAGAAAACAGGGGAATTCAGACCTATTCTAGATCTTCGATGCCTGAATCGTCATATTTCCAAAAGGAAATTCCGCATGTTAACTGTGAAACAGTTACTAGGGCTTGTGCAGCCAGGCGATTGGTTCACCACCATCGACCTGAAAGACGCGTACTTTCATGTGGAAATTGTTCCAGAGCACAGAAAGTATCTGCGTTTTGCCTTCCAGGGAACAGCCTACGAGTACAACAGGCTGCCGTTCGGTTATTCCCTATCCCCACGCACATTCAGCAAATGTGTGGCTGCGCGCACACGTATGAGAGTTTTCTTTTACATAGACGACCTCATAGTTATGGCTGGGTCCCGGGAACAGGCAATGTGTTGCACAGCACAGTTGATCACACACCTAACCAAATTAGGTTTTGCGATCAATTGGGAAAAGAGCACCCCCATACCTCGCCAACAGGCGTTGTATTTGGGTGTGGTGCTCGATGCAGACGCGCTGCGTGCCACCCTGTCAGAGAGCAGACGTGCGTCCCTTCTCAGGGCGGTGCACAGGCTGCGACAGGGGGCGACAGTGACAGCTTTAACTGTCATGCAGACTCTGGGTCTCATGGCGGCTGCTCACATGGTGGTCCCGCTGGGGTTACTACATATGCGCCGCCTGCAGAGGTGGTTCTCCAGCCTGCGTTTGGACCCCAAGAGGCATAAACGACGGCTGGTGACCATCCCCCCCTCAGTGGAGGGCAACCTCCGGAGGGGGTCTCCACTGGGACGGGTGACCTCCTACATCACAGTGTTTACGGACGCCTCCAGAACAGGATGGGGAGGGACCTGCCTGAAGAGGGCTATAGGTGGGTGCTGGGCTCTAACAGAGTCTCAACACAGCAACCTCCTAGAGCTACGGGCAGTAGTGTTAGTCCTTCGGCATTTCATGCCCCTAATTCAAGGGAGACATGTAATGGTCAGGAGCGACAACAGCACCACAGTGGCTTATATCAACAGGCAGGGCGGAGTCCGCTCCGCCTCCTTGTTGACCACAGCGGAGGAGCTGTGGTTATGGGCCTCAGAGGTGGTGTTATCTCTGAGAGGCGAGTGGGTGCTTCACCCGGAGGTGGTGAAGCAGGTCTGGGCCCAGTTCGGGAGAGCAGAAGTGGACCTGTTCGCCAGCCGGCGCAACAGCCACTGTGCCCTGTGGTTCTCCATGGCCCTGAGCGACGACCCGCCCTTGGGGGTGGACGCGTTTGCACACGAGCCATGGCCAAGGAAGCTGCTATACGCCTTTCCACCGCTGCGTCTCATTCTCCCTCTCCTGGGGAGAGTGAGGCGAGAACGTCTGGCAGTCATTCTGGTGGCACCGGATCGCGTTGGGGCGCCGTGGTACTCAGAAATGACACAGATGAAGGTGGGCCAGCCCTGGGCGATCCCCCAGTTCTGGATGTCTCAAGAGGCAGGTGCAATCGGGGCGTTACCCACGCTCGGCCAACCTCTCCAGGCTTGGCTCCTGAGAGGGACAGGCTGAGACAGGGTGGATTGTCTGACAGTGTTATTCAGTCTATCCAGGCAGCTAGAGCAGGATCCACCACAGCCTGTTACAGGCCGAAGTGGCTGGGATTCCAGCGATGGTGTGAGGAGCAGAGAATAGAGCCCCTATCTTGTGAGCTAGGCTCTATTTTGTCCTTCTTACAGTTACTGGTGGACAGAGGGCTGGGGCATTCCACAGTGAAGGTGTATGCAGCAGCCATCTCGTCCTGTCATGAGGGATTTGGTGGCAGGTCAGCCTTTAGTCAACCACTGATGTCGCGGTTTTTACAGGGGCTTAGGAGACTGCGCCCTGTAGTGCACGTCTCCACCCCGCAGTGGGACCTGCCCCTAGTGCTCGAGGCTCTGGCCTCGGGACCATTTGAGCCTCTGGAGCTCTCCTCTCTGAAAGCATTGTCGTGGAAAACAGCTTTGCTTCTTGCCTTAACGTCAGTGTCCGAGTTAACTGCTCTGTCGGTGCACCCGGGTTGTTTACTAATTCAGGGTGACCAAAGCGGCGCGACACTTAGACCGAACCCCTCCTTTGTACCTAAAAACCTAAGGAGTGCGTTCAGGTCGAGGGCTATTCAGTTAGGGGGTTTTAGTCTCCCCCCCATGGTGGGGCCAGGGAGGCTAAACTGCACCTCCTCTGCCCGGTGCGTGCGCTAGCATGCTATGTAGAGCACACGGCTGCCCTTAGACGCACCGAACAGCTGTTCGTGTGCTTCGGGGGCGGGGTGATCGGGAAAGCTCTGTCTGTGAGTGCATTGCACATGCCTACGGACAGGCGGGGAGAGCCTGCCCCACAGGGATTTGTGCACACTCCACACGGGCTGTAGCTGTATCAACAGCCTTATTCAACGGTGTGAGTGTGGAGGATATATGCACAGCGGCGTCTTGGTCGACGCCAGGCCCCTTTATAAGGTTTTATCTCTTGGACATGTCTGGCTCTTTCTCCTCGTCTGTGCTTGCTGGGGCAACACAGCATTTGTAGGGGAGGGGGGGGTTGTGGGTCAGTTGGCATCTGACCCCCTCCCCGGACGTGATGCGCCTTCACCTTTCCTGGGCCCTCTGAGGGTCCCGGGAAAGGCGCGCTGCCCCCCTCCTGCCGAGAGGATACCCCCCACATTTTTAGTCCTCTCACACTCTGCATGGGGTCAGTGCTTGAGTGTGAGGCTTGGGCGCTGGCGCTCTCCCTGTTATCCTTAGGGATTCAGGAAGGCAGGTGCGTAGTAAGCCCATACAGGGCCGAGGGGGCTCTCCCCATCCGTTACGGGCGGAGGGGCTGCCCCCCTCCTGCCGAGAGGCAGGGGGAGGATAGCCCCCCACATTTTTAGTCCTCTCACACTCTGCATGGGGTCAGTGCTTGAGTGTGAGGCTTGGGCGCTGGCGCTCTCCCTGTTATCCTTAGGGATTCAGGAAGGCAGGTGCGTAGTAAGCCCATACGGGGCCGAGGGGGCTCTCCCCATCCGTCTAGGGCGGGGGGGGGAGGGTCCCCCGGCACTGTTTTTTGAGCACACTTTCTGCGAGGCAAGCGCAGCAGGGTGTGCTCTGTCAGCCGCAGCCCAGATTTCTCCTCGGTCACAACCGGGTTAAAGGAGAGGGGGGGGGCAGCAGCTGCTGACCAGAAAAGCCGGTCAGGGGCAGTAGGGTGGATTGGTGTTGGAAAGACAGTGCGCGTATACATCAGGGCTCCACCCACTGTACCCATAGAGTCCAGTAGAGGGCGGAGCCTGTGAGAGATATAACGGGGGGTTACGTATTGTAACCCTTGTTATATAAACACAGGCGGAGCCCTCTACTCAGGGCACTGTCTGTCCTGTTCCGCTCGCTGAAGAGAGGTATAGGATAGCAGTCAGGAGGCAAGGCCTCCTTTTATACGGTGTGATGCGCGCGCATTCAGGTAGGCCCGCCCTGGGCCGGCTACGTCTATAGAAGTCTCAGTGGGAGAATGCACGCGGGATAAGGTAGTACCCATAGAGTTCAGTAGAGGGCTCCGCCTGTGTTTATATAACAAGGGTTACAATACGTAACCCGGCGTTATCTGTGCTGGGTTTAACATCCCATCAGCCTCCTGTCAGCTGCTGGTTCAAACCTGCACCATGCTGCCCTCTGGTGGCTGCTCACACAAACTGCTCAGGGCAAACTGCATACAGCCTGACATCACAAACAATACCCATGATACACTTTAAGATCCACATCCAAGAACCAGGGGCCTTTCTCATTTCACTAATTTCCCCTCCTCGACTCCTCGAAGCCTCGGCCCTCCGGTAGTTGTTTTGCATGGGCCCCTGGCCGGCTCTGGGCCCCAGTGCGTTGCACCGGCTGCACCGGCGATAGTTACGCCACTGATGTTGAGTGAAGCTAACATGAACTGCTGTATATTAGGGACAGTAACAAGAACAATGTGTCACTCATTCAACACTTTTAACTACTATACATTATTTTTCTGTATTTGCAGTTTTATTTGGAAGCAACTAAAGCAGGTACAAACCTGTATTGATTTAAAGAAACCTGCTCCTTCTGCTGCACGTCGAGGACTTCTGTTCTTGGAATACAATAACCCAACATTACACTTTAGGGTGTAACATGAAGGGATGAAGGGATGTAAGGATGGAGGAATGAAGGGATGGAGGAATGAAGAGATGAAGGGATGAAGGTATTGATGAGGCAGGAAGGGGAATGGATGAATGAATAGGAAAGGTGGGTTGTGGGGTTAGAGGTCAGCTGGAGGTGAAGCTGCTCCTGAACATAAGTGTACTAATAACATAAATACACACATACAGTAAATGTTTATTACTCAGGTCATGGTTTAAGTTTGTTGAGGACTAGACTATATTGAGACAAGTTTATCATTTCTTAAGAGGTGAGAGAGAGTTGTTCCACAATGTTGGCCTGTGTGAGCGGACCCCACTGAAGCAGCTTGTTGCCCCCCCCCCATCACGTCCATTCATCAAATATGTGTTATATGTGAATCTGAAAGTGACTAGTACTTACAGCTGTCTGATAATGGACTGCAGTCAAGTATGAAATAGTTTCTTCTAAAATGTTATAAAGTATAACTTTAAAGTAAAATACCTCTAAACTGAACTTCAGTTCTTAAATAAATGGAGTCAAAGTTACTTTGCAGCGAGAAGTTAAGGGTCAGAAACATTTGAGGCGTAACAACATGTATTTATTGTTAAAAGACTTGTTTACTGACTTTCCTGCTCTGCTGACTTTGGCTGTAGATTGTATTGTACAGTGGTTGCATATCCTTCATACTGAGTCACACCCATGCACGTCACAGGTGTGATCCGGTCCGTCTTGTTTTTGTGTTTACTGTACTTTAATGCCACGTCTTCAGATAAAGGTGAACGGTTTATCAGAGACAGCATCTCACTCTTTCTCTCTGTGTCTCTCTGTTTCTCTCTGAAGGAGAATCAACAATCTCAGGTTTTTCTCAACAAACAGCAGAATCTCTGGTGAGTTTCCTACAAATCTCAAACACACTGGATACCACAATCTGATTTAAAGAAATCTCAAGGTAGGACTACTCTTTAAGGCAAAACGTTACATTTAGTGCATTGAATGTGTCTTTTTAACTTGTGTATTGTATGTTTTTGATTGGATATTGTTACTGGTAAATGTTCTGTATTCTTTACCTGCTTAGGGACTATGGACATAAATTGGCATTTTATACAGATGGTCATTAATTCTCCCTATCAAATAAATAAATAAATGAGATCATTTTGTTTTCTAAGCTCTGTTATGACATATTCAGTTGTTACAGATATCATACTTCTCTCTGAAATCTTTCAGTTGCTTCTTTATTGTCGGCCGTTAACATTTTACTTTTGGTGATATTACTTTGATATTATGTCAACAATACTTTAGATAACTCTCTCCTTATTTCCAGTGGTGCAGGGTTTTTGATCAATGTCGTAGAACAAAATGTAAAATAAGGAAGTGCCAAAATGCTGAATCATTTGCTGGTTTTAGAACTCATTCCTGCGCCACCTTTTGGCATATACTGTCTGATATTCAAGAAGACGTTCACCTTGTTCTTATATAAAGTAACAGAAACTTAGACGGTGAGGAGGATCAGTTAACTTGTACTTTACTTTGGTGGAAAAAGTATTCAGAGTCTTTACTTCAGTAAACGTACCAATACGATTAATATCAAAGACTCCTTTCACAAGTAAATGCATTTTAAACCAAACTTACTCTCACTATTAGAGTATCAAAAGTAAGGGGGCTAATTTAGCAGGAAAATGTATTTCATATGTGCTCTATTATAATATATGACATTATTGATTGTTAATATTGTTGTAACAATTAGCATTTTACTTCAGTAATTTACTGCATATTGTAATCTACAGATGACACACACTGCTCCTCTTTGTGGAATGCAGTAAAGCCTGTTCTCTTCCTTCCTGCTCTCAAACAGAGCCAGCTACCCCCTCTCAAGGTATGTGATGGTTCCCTCACTTGTATATGTTCAGGTATGAACAACAACAAGCTGGTACATGCAGAGGCTGCTTCCTCCTTCACTGCATTAAGTGAAGCAGAGCAGGAGGAGACTGGGGCCGTTTCTCAATGTCGAGTAGACCTGCTGCAGTAGGGATGGGTCCCGAGCCCCGGTATTAACCGGCCGTGGTACCGTTAAGCTCCGACGTTATCTGTCTTTTTATCGGTACTGGAGACATGTAAAAAATATGTCATATGTATTATTGCTACACAAACATTATATTGCAGTTTTAGTGTCACCAACTCCGTTTCTAAGACGCAAAAAGACTGCAAAATGCGTCTTTTTTGTATTTTCGATCTTTCCAATCCCGACGAGAGATCTCTCTCCCCCGCCTGTGTGCGAGGGGGCGGGGCAGTTTACACACACGCAGCTGCTACATGCAGCAACACACACACACGGAGGGGATGGCGGAGAGAACGCGCTCCGAGGTGTGGTTAAACTTTACCCGTCTCGATGTGGACAATGCTCGTTACCAAATGTGCAATAAGAGTTTAGCATGTAAGAGCCGTAACACGAGCAATTTGTCTAAACATTTAGCAGAAGTGCACCACATTCAGACGGAGAAATGCACCGGGTTTGACTGTCTTTCTAGTAGATCTGTAGCCCCATCCACGAGTAACGTTTCCACGTCAGGTGTTATGTATGCTAGCAGCAACACACGGAGCTAACTCAATGATACAAACATGGGTTAAAGATTAGAGGTAACTGAGTTTCAGCCATTCTGTTTACAGTTCTGTCATCAGATTATTTAATACCATTTGTTAAAACATTGTTGTTTCTTTTGATGTGAAATATTATGTATTTAATTGAAATAAAAAGCAATGTTAGTTTTGTTCACAATTTGTTTAGTTAGTTTACCTTATTTTTTTCTCCAAAAGAACCGATAAGAGTACCGTTAAAAGACCGGACCGATAAGCGGTATCGATAAAAGTAGTAGTACCGTTAAAACCTTAACGATACCTATCCCTATGCTGCAGAGCCACTATTTCAAGTATACTACGTCATCAAGTGGCGCCGAAGGACTGTTTAAATGCATGTTAAATGCCCAGCATTCGGCGCCACTTGATGACTTAGTATACTTGAAATGGTGGCTCTGCAGCAGGTCTACTCGACATTGAGAAACAGCCTTGCTGTCTGTCAGACTACTTTACTCTACCAAAGATGGACGACTTGCTGTTGTTGCCCATATAAGCTGTGGACAGCCGGCAGTCAGAGCCCTGAGCCTGTTGTTCAGGTCTCAGGCTAGAAAAGGACATTCCCAGAACAATTGACCATATCTTCCCTTCTAAAAGGGTTACATTAATAATCTTTTTTCTCAAAGTAATGATAAACCTGTGAGTTGGATGTAGAAAAGTCAGAATCAATATAGATTTTTTTATTTTTAAAGTAAATTCAGATTGACATAGTAAAAAAATGTAAATTATAGTGTCCGTCCAAAAATAAACCATTACTTATAGTGAAAACCACCCTTGGATAATGGGTTAGTAGACTAAAAGCTTTAGGAATCCAAAGTACAACATATAATAAGTACCTTGTATCAAGATTGATGCAAAACAAGTGACATTTGACCTTTTTAGAGAGGTTTAGTAAAAAGAAACCCACTTCTGGGGTGATTTGGGTGCATTTTTAATGCATACATGCAGTAAATACATATGAACTCTCTTTTTATTATTTAGAAAGTGCTTCAGAAATCAATAACATAAATGTCTTGACATTAATTTATAAACCAAAATGAATTAATTGTATAGGTCTAGCCTCCCTATATCTGTGTGTGAAGTTGTTCCATCCTCAAAAACTAAAAACTAATGTTTCTGCAGTCTGCAGCTTCTAGCAACGGCCTTCTGTTAAAGAAAGGACACTGAATGTCCTGAATGTGGCATCACACACAGGACTTGAGTCTGAACCATAGACTGTATATATAAATGGACGTAGGGTCCGTGACGTCACCCATAGGATTCTGCAGAGTTGCCGAGAAGCCCTTAGTAGGCGGAGTCGGCCACTAACGGCTCGACAGTGACGTCTGAGTCTAACTCCCGCCTGCTCCAGCCTGCTCCAAATAAGGGCAAAGAGGCGGAGCCGAGGCGGGACCTTCTGCCTCCAGCTGGGAAGTAACAGAGCTAGCTCAAGCTAAGAAGCTAAGCTAACATGCTTCCCCATCAGCACACTGCCGTCACATTTTACGTTTCTAAGGTAAGCGGACATGAAACTATTCAGCAAAACTATAAATAATAATCTAAGTTATTAAGTTTTTAGCATAATACTTCAGAATCTTAAAATCCCTTAACGTTTGTATGCAATGTGCTAAATGCAACACTGGAATCAAGCAAATATTAATATGTTTGCATGACATTAGTTATTTATATTTTGCTATCACTTAATTATACGTTTAATACATTTAAGTTAAGCTAAGGTGCATGTGATGGTAGCTAGTTAGTGCTCTTACCTGTGAGGCCTCCTCCAAACAGCATTATAACCAGACTGTATCATTAAAACTATAAGTACCAGTTCTAGATCCTTGACTTTAGACAAACAATTCAAAAGACAAAATGTATTTAAAGACCAATCTTTATTTGAAGGTGCCTCTTAACCTGAGATATTAGTTATACAGTAATAGTATTGACAATCTAAAAAAACTGAGCAACTCAACAGTCAACTTTATATTTCTTATTGTCTAAAGCATTTATTATTTTCATTTTCCCCTCTCATATTCAGTGTGGAGTGTGGACGGATTGAGACAGCGTGGTGTCCAGAGAGCTGCAGAGACTTCAGGGAGAAACCTCCGTGTGATGGACGTCCTGTCTGTTGGTTTGGAGAGGACTGAGGGGCTTTCCTCAGCGAGGAGGACCAGGCCTGATGGAGGAGCCCATGCATAGCTGATACCACCTGATCATTGTCTGTCACTTTATTTGACTAAATGTGTTTACTTATACATTTAATAGGTTTACACCTTCTGTCCATATGTGCTTTTTATTTAAAACATGTTTGATTCACTTTTGGTTCAGATTTCAATAAATTGAATTTGTATTTGCACTCCTTTTGTCCATTATTCTTACTGAAAATGTTAGATTACACATTCACATCCGACTGAAGATTGGCCCCATTTATTTGTGACATTGCAAACTCTGCGGTACAAGGTACATGTTGTGAAGCTCATAAAGTGAGGCAAATAGAAATAATCAGCTGATGGAGTGTAGATGTGGAAATAGGTGCATTCAATCAGCTGACAGTGTTTTCACAATAAAAGTAGTTTCTTAGTGAATGTCCTGTACTGGTCTTAAAATCTCATAACATCAGCTTTTCATTTTCCTCTTGGATGTTCTTCTTGACCCTCAGAGAAAGAGGAGATGCTGAGTCGTGTCTTTCAGGCATGTCCTTTCTAACAAAAATTACAGGAAACATAAAACATATTATTGCAGAACAAGTGTGTTATTTATGAAAGAGGTGTGTTTGTGTTTAGGGGCTGTAGATATAATTATTTTGTAATTGTAATGTTTTATTTTATTTCAACAGTGAGCTACAAAGACAATCAGATTATGAATGAACAGTATGACATTCATCAACATTGAAATGTATTTTATTATCAAAATAATATTTAACTGTTATCAAAACGTAGTGCAACTGTAGAAGCTTGCTCTGTTCTCTCACTGAAATCATAACTTTTACCACGTTTTTTACAGACAATATTGAGAGATAAATAGCAGTTGTTAACATTCATTACGTAGCTGATTAAAATCATAAACACATAAATAAAGTACTCGAATTTCACTTACCGCAAAACGGCATTCATGCACCGTCTGTTTTAACCGCAGAGCGAGTCACAATAGTCCGATATATAAGCATGAAGAACAAACAAACACGGCCGGGATCAAGTTGTGTTCCCTGGATGAACTGAGCAGGCAGAGTCCCTGTAGCTTCACGGAGACGGAGCAGCTAGCAGAGAGACAAAAAGCTAACAGCAGCAGTCACCTGACAGAGCTGTCACTCAATGTGACCACGCCCTAATTTATGCAAAGACTTTAAGACCTAATATAAATAAAAGGGTCGTGTTAGAAAACAATTCACTCACAGATTCATAATCATGAAGGTGGAATCTAACTATATCTATAATAATATTTATTGGATCCATAGGTAGAAACATGTTTTTTTAGGCTGTAAAATTGGGCATTTTAACATGGGGCTCTATGGAAATTGCTCCTTTCTGCAGTCAGCGCCTATCGGCCAATATATGAACTGCAGTTTGTGGCACTTCCGTATTGGCGTCCCGGCTCTTCCCCTGAGTTTGCCGCTTGGTCTGAACACAGCAGACAACAGGAGTATTTACAGCATATACAAACAAAAATACTGCATGTGGGTGCACACTTACATTCTCTGTCTTACTGTTACATAATGTCTGAGATTAAGTTAGCTTCATTATATCTCAATCAGTGATTAAGTGAATAATAAAGTTTCTATCGGGTCACTATCAGCCTGTCACTCATTATTTTCAGGGAGGGGGCGGGGTTTGGAGGAACAGAGGAGACGGTGATCGAGGAAGCTTTTTTCCTCCTGCCTTCAAAAACTTTACACACGTATATATCGTCTGAGAATTGCTAGAGGACATTCATACTCTGCAATCCAAGACTTAATTAAATCCACCAAAAACCTGACATGATTGTAACGCGATTATTTTTGAAAAACATAAATCCTTGTGTCTCTGAGCCGCAGCGACACGGAGTGATTCAGAGCGGGTCCTTCTGCTGTTGGTTCTGGACTGGTGTTCTTGTGTTGGTGGATAAAGCAGACTGCTCTGTGTTTGGTGTTGCTGTGCCGCTGTCACGTCTGTTCCCTGATCTCTGCGTCACCGACCGATTTGATATTCAAAATATATAAAAAAAACGTTATAGTAAAGCCGCGGCCGGAAAATCAGGAAGCAACGTTACTACGCTATAATCGATTATCTT